TCAAATTACACATTATTAACGCATCGATATATTGTAAAATGAATATATTTGTATATAGGTTTACTGTATTTTAATATTCGATAAAAATAAGTTGTCCATAATTCCAGTTTAATTCACAAGATTATTTTAAATTTAAATTAATTCTAATTAATTAATTTTATCCAAGTTAATGTTTATTTTGGTATTTTTCATCATTTTATATTTATATTGAGATTTTAAGCCATATTATTTATTGCAAAATCATAGCGTAAAATCTACTTAACTATTTTCATTTTTACATTTTTTATCCATAAAATATTAGTTGATGTTTGAAAACGAATCTAATATAATCATTTTATATGTGCAATATACATTATTTTTATAGATTTATACGTTTGAATATTCAATCACTATAATTAATTTATCCGATTTTAGTTTTAAAAAAAAAATAGTAGCAAACATGTAGATATATATATACGTAGAATATAATATAATTGTATGTGAATGTCATTATAATAATCGGTTTAATAATAAATTTAATCAATTCGTTCGATAATCATTATTGATGATTACGAATATTACATTTGTTTTAAGCTACTAAAAGCTTTGTGACAAAAAAATGTATGAAAATAATGAATGATAATTTGTTAGGCGGGGACGATTAGAAATTTATTTTAAAATATTCTTAGATGCATTTAATAGTGCACAAAGTCTGATTAAATGTATGTTTTAATGGCTTTTTAAAGAACAGTTTGAATTTGAAATGCTGATTGATGAAAAGCAAAAGAAGGAATAACATTTAAGACTTGAATGTTACGTTGGTGCAAACCTATTGATGACATTCATTTTTTACTATGAAATTATAGAGAAAGAATGAAATATCATATATCGTTCTTGCAGTACAATGACTTAATCGCTTTTCTTTCGATAATGTTTTTTTTCCATTTCGTTGGATAAATCTGACGATTCATTCATAAAAATCATTCTTTTTTACCCTTAAAAAATTAGCATTAGAATACTTTTTATCTATTGATAATATTATCTATTTGATAATATACTTTTTTTCGAAGAATTGTAATAAAAAAATAAAAAAAAAAAAAAAAACATTCTCATAGGAATCAAGTGCCATTTTATAACCGTTGTAGCATTTATCCTTAAACGGTCAAATCAAGTTTCAACTCTTGCAAAATTACTACCAGAAGTATCTATTGTTTTGTTTTCTTTGTTCTTTTATTTTAATACGTCGAAGAGTCGGTATGGAATACACGAGTATGATAATTCATGCCGTTATTATTGTTCATAATTGTATATTTTCCATAAATCTAAAAAAATATTATAATAGTATATATGATAATTTTTATTTATAGCTATCATCGAACTATCCAATCTTGTACTTTAAATTTGCCCGTCAAAGTGCTTTGTTGCACGTCTTTTTCTAATTGGATCAAAACTACTGTAGCAGCGTGAATATCAGATAAACATTTTAGTGGTTAGGAATTTTTGTTTGATTATTATTGAAGAGTCCGAGGATTTCTCGTCCCTGCCCATTAAGAAGTTTCATTACAAACTCTTTTACATAATGCCACGTTTAATATCAATTATTATCAATATTATGTGCTAGACAACTGAAACGGATTTAAAGCAAACTAAGACTAATTTCAGTCGCTATCTCACTTAATTATAAATGGTAATGAATCAATATTGAATTCCTGCATTTATAATAATCTCTTATAGAATTATATATTTTTTATATTATTTATGTAATGAACTCAATATTTTAAATTAATACACAATATAGTGCATAGTTATATTCAATTAAAAAAAATAAAAAATAAAAAAAAGCTTACTTTATAATATTATCATTGTATTAACTATTATAACAACTACGTATATTTTTAAATGATACAAAGAGAATTTTAGTTAAAAAATTTTATACTTCTTTAAAAAGCATAAGCATACGTCTATAATTAAAATATAAGTTTATTCGATGAACGACTGACCATTACATCTGTCTCCATTCATTTATAGAATAAATGTAACCGTATTTGTTTCAAATTCTATACTTAATTGAATATTGATTTATTTGTCATTTATAAATAATACCTTCTAAGTTAACGATCACTTTTAAATAATTAATAAACAATATTTTATCACTTTTCAAATTCAGTATATTTTTAATTTTGCTTAAAGATACTCATAAATTTCTCTAAGAATCCGAATTTGTATTTTTCAATTGTTTACTATAAAAAATATTCATATTTACATATGAATTGCAATTCAATTTCAGCTAATCAATTCAACAACACATATATCTAATTAATTATACCTATTTATCTCTAATTAAGTGTTGCTCTTTTTTACATGACAGTTATGCAGTAAAAGCAAAATTTAAAGATATTAGATGATTTTAAGGGAGAAAAAACGTTTATTGTACAAAATCATTTGAAAATGAAACTTACTAAAAACACAAGGACTTTAAATATTTACAAAAAGTAAAATAAGTGACTTCTATTTTTATTGAATTAGGACGACATAAACTTGTTGTTTAAAAGCGTTGCACTTGGAATTTTTAATTTATTCGATCATCCTGCATTTATAAAGTTTAAATATTGCTTAATTATTTTTAATGCAAATACATATTTACTGATACTTGAAAAATATTGTAAAAATTGCAAAGAAAAAGATAAAAAAAAATGTAAATACTGGAGCTCAAACTAAAAATTCCAATGTACAAAATATTTTAACTTTATCTCTGTAACATTTTGACGGGACAAAAGAAAATCCACGCCCATTGAAATTTCGCTGTTCATACAGTATTCATCTTCATTATTACAAAAATATAAAGCCTATAAAGGATATTTATCTTTATGTTCTTAAAATTACACTGCCTTTTCGCTAGATCTTGAACAGATATTTGCAATGAACGCTTATGCATTTCCACTAGTGTCAGATTAAGCTAGGTACAGCCACAAATCGCCCTTGGGCTAAATTAGAGGGATGCTCGACTTCTTTATATTCTCTTACAGACGATCCGTTGGTGAAATTTTTCGAGAAAACAATGAACCGCAACTGTTGATTATTCGGGAGAAATAAGCTTAAATTCGTATTTTATTATTATTATTATTATTATTATATAATGAAAAGAAAATATAATATTGGGAACTATAAAGAAACTTAACGTTCGCGATCACTCTTGTATATTACGTTTTATTTCAACAAATTTACTTATACATTCTATTATAAAATTCTATTATTATTTGACTATTTTTTTTTAGTTATAATTTTTTAAAGTAAATTTTTAACAAAGTAAATTTTTACCTATTTTTTATATTGTTATCTTGACATATTGTTTCACGTATTCGTGATGTTTTAATTGAATTTATGTATAAAAGGTTTTATGTAAAAGAACTTTTTATATTATTCAAAACAAATTACATTCATGAAAATATATTTTTAATATTATCTTTTAGTTTTCAATAATGGTTATATATATATATATATATATATATATATATATATATATATATATATATATATATATATATATTGTATATAATTGTGTACATATTCTTATTTATTAATCCTATCCATTCTTAATGAGCGTTTCGTATATCTAAAGTCGTAGAACACTTGATAAAACTCTTGTAGGAAACTACTAATAACCTAAAGGTTTATTATTTTATTTATATCTTTTAGTAATGGTAACATTACAATTAATGATCGATAAATCCATACCTGATAAATAACATATGTTTCGTAATCGGATTATTATCAGCAATAAATGTTCAAAGTTTTCTATCATCCATAATATTTCAGTTATATATTGAGAAAAAACTATTCATATTTGCTACTACTACTACTCCATCTATTGAAATAAACATTATATATAAAAAAAAACTAGTACTATAACGAATGACAATGATCAAGTCCGATTGAAATTAGTTTTTTTTTTTTTTTTTTTTAATCGAAGCTTTATTAGTAGAAAATATACGATGTATTTATAATTTTATTTAGTGACAGTACAGTTTAGTTCAATGCATACGACGAGTACGGACGGGGTGTGTCAATTAATGGAGAAAGCGATATTACTGTCCGTTTGCTAACGAAAATGGGTCTCGAGGAAAAAGCTTCATTTAGTTTTCTTATATTTGACAATGAAGACGGTAATAGAGATTAATAAAAAAAATACAAAAATAAGTAGTAATTTTTCAAACATGAATTAAATAGTTGAAATATATTTGATTGAATTATATTCAAGCAATTAAATGCAGACGATAAACTATTGATACAATTGCACTCGATACTATTACTACTGCTTCCTTTTTTGTTTTTTTTATTGTTATGATGGTGCTCGATTACTCGAAAAATAAATTAAACAGTGTATATATAAATAAAAAACTTATGAGCATATGTACAATAAGTATGATTAACAGTTTATTGTAAAAGATCCTGTGAGCCTAATCAATTAAAAACTTCTAGCTATACAAATAAAAAACTTTATTACAATTGTATATATATATATATATATATATATATATATATATATATATATATATACAATTGTAATAAAGTTTTTTATTTGTATAGCTAGAAGTTTTTAATTGATTAGGCTCACAGGATCTTTTACAATAAACTGTTAATCATACTTATTGTACATATGCTCATTGTATATTTCCTTTACTTATTCTATTATTAGAAATACATCTGCAAATTGTAATTTTCCCTTTAAAAACATTTAAAAAATTATTGTTTATCAATTCAATGATAACATAATAAGAAAACAATTTTAATCCCATTTCAAACACTGTAAATCTTTTATTATTAATCACTTTTCAATCATAATAATTCAATTTTAAAAAAATATTTATTTCTTCGGAACAATTTATATATAATGAAAAACCTAAATAGCGAATTTTTAAAAATTCTTTGTATACATTTATACCATATTAATCGTACACTGAATGAATATTGAAATAACTTTTTTATGTTCTCGGTAATCAACATAAAATCATCATGTATAGATAATGTCACCAAAAAGAGCAAGACTACTTGTCGCCATTGTTTGGGTGCTTAGTTTTATCATTTGCTTTCCGCCATTAGTTGGCTGGAAAGATCAAAAGGTATGTACAAGCACATAGCCCAATTATATCGTTTTAATGGACTTATAATTGCACGAAACATTAAGCTTGTGTGTGTGTGTGTGTGTGTGTGTGTGTGTAAATTCTAATATGTCTTTTTAATGAATTAAACGATAATATTTAGTACTTAATGAATGATTATTTACATTTGATTAAATTACGTTAGATTATCTATGTTGCGGATAATAATTATAAATTTGAGTATTCACTTGATATATAAATGGATATATTATTATATGGGCAAAATACATGCTATTCAATTGCAAATTTATATCAATATAGGAAAAAATGTGTAAAAATATTTTGGTATTTTTAACCTGCCTCGTGATAATATCTATGAGTATAAATTCTTGAATAATTCATTAAACAGGCTATTATAGACTAAATCATAAGAGATAGATATAAAGTAGTGAATAATCTATTTTTATTGTAATAAATATATTAAAAAAAATTTTATATAGATTGAAATAATTAATAGAGTAATTTCTCTTTGATACTTTTAAAGAACATAGATACTACTCTAAAGAATTAAATAACAATAATAAAAATTATTTTTATACTCACTTGTAGATAGTTTTTTTTTTATTTTTTTATTTTTTATATAAATTAATATTAAATTTGAAATTTGAAAGTATTTTAAAAATGAAACAGAAGAAAATTGTGTTCAAATTTTTTTTGGAATATTGACATAAATACTGTTTAATACCTTTCACTATGAATATTTAAGATCAGATAAAATTTCTTCAGTGTTCATTCCTAAAAATTTAATTTAATACATTTTTAAGATACAACTATATCAATTAGTTTATAAATAAAAATGGACGTGTATTATTATAAATAAATCATGGCATATGCTCTTTGTGTCAGGAGTGTAACAAATAAAATATAAGGACATATTGATTTGTTGAAACGCTGATGTATTTTTATGAATTTCATATACGCATATGTTATTACAGGATGATGACGTGACGCAAAATGTTACGTTTTTCGAAAATGGTACATACAATGCTACCATTATCATTGTACCAGTCGAGCCGTGTCGATGGATTTGTGAGCTTACAAATGATGCTGGTTATGTCGTTTATAGGTAAAACTAATCAAATTCAAACTACTATATTATTAACATATTGTTGATGGATAATCTAATTTGATATTGGATAAAAATAATATAAATGCATTTCCTTGTCAATTAAGTTCATTTCCATAATATTGATAATTAAATGAACATTATTCATTATTCGATAATTGAAAATTATTTATTTATTATTCGATATTTAAAGATTGAGTAAAATATCGTGGAGATCAAAAGTTTCTTTAATGACCTCAATATAACTGAGTTTATTACATCAATTTTCATTCATAGCTTAGTTATCAACTAAAATATACTTTATTTTTTTGTTTCTATTCATATTTAAAATTAAAAATATATATTAATGGTACAATATTAATTACTTCATAAATTTCGTTTTCTTCATCGTATTACAGAATGTTAAGATGTAATTTTAGTTACTAAATTCAATGAACATATATTTTTTATCGTAATCCATAATGTAAGAGACGGATCATTTTATTTATTTACGTATTCTTCTTATAAGACGTCAGTTGCGAATAACTTCCTTAATCCGACATAATAAAAAGAATATATTCTTCTCCAAACTGTCAAGTTTATAATTGTATAAACCTCTATTTTTATTATGACTAATTTCATAATTAAATTCACAATCTCATAGTTGGAGTAATAAAAAATATTATTTCATTAGAAGGGCAAAGTAAGACTAAATATATTGATTAGCATTCTTAGAATTAAATAATTCATAATGTCAATTGACTAAATTGAAAGCACTGAGAATCAAGAGAGCAGCTAAGTATAGCCGCACTTGAACTTCATATCCAAGTAGAATGAAAAATTTAATTTTAATTTAATATATTATCAATTTACAAATAATATATTTTTAAAAAATCAAACAATAGCACATCTCTAAGGAACTTTTTTTTTTTTTTTTTTTTTTTTTTTTGTTAATTCATTCAAAAATTCATCAAAGCTTCATATTTTGTAAACTAAATATTTTTAACTTCATATATTAAATGTAAAAAAATATTTACTTTATTAAATGATAACCTATTTTTGTTATGTTACGTATCAATCAAATGTAATGTCATGGCTTAATTTGAGCAAAATTCTTGTTTTATATAATTTCATTACCCATTATAAATTTAATTTAATTTATTTTGTTTATTTTTACAGGAATAAATGAATAAGTAGGTATTTAAAAGTCAACTTCGATAAATTTGTATTAAGATGATAAGGAACATTCAAAGCATTTAATAATATAAGTAATTATATATTTAACAATAAAGTAATTATTCAATTCTAAATGTCATAATTAAACACTAAAAATTATGAGTTATAATATTTACAAGAATATTTCAAACAAATAAACTGTATATAATTACACGAGCTTATCTGACTATATTATTGTAAAAGTTAAATTTAACAATTTAACCACAAACTACAAGAATATAACCTAATGAAATTACATTCATTTACTTTTAATTAATTATTAGACCGATTAATATAATCATAATTGAATTGTGGCTTTTATATTTAGAGACAAAGGTATTTTAGTATTGTAATCGAATTTTGTGCTTTTCAAAATGAGTCAATTATTAAATTAACTTCATTTAGAACGGACAATTTTCTTTATCATCATTATCTACTCGATAAATATTCTAATTTAATAATCATTATAAATCAACATACTACAACATAATTTATATTTAATTAAGCACAGTTTTATTAAGATATTAAAAATTTCCTTTTGAAGCAAATAGTAATTTATTATGTTATTATTGAATATACTTATTTTCATTATTGATAACTTCATAACTAAGTATTAAATAATTCGAATTCTTCTTTTTATTTCATTAATGTAAATATCACTTTACAATATTTATTTAAATTTTCCAATAGATATACTATACTCTTATAATAACAAATAATTTATATTCACTATTATTCATTAATTAACATAATTCTAATATTTTAATCAAATATTTATTAGTTTATTACAATATCCTAATTATATATAAAAATTTAATTATATTAATCAGTCAATTATTATTCGTATTCCATTTTATATTATTTTCCATTTATATTTCGTTTAATATTTCATATATTTTTACTTATTTACATATATATATATATATATATATATATATATAGGAACAGTATGAGCAAAAATATAAAATGTTTGTTTAGATTCATCATTGATTATTATGGTCAAAAAAACAATAAATTAAAGTCGATTTCTTTAATTATAATAATAATGTATTAATAAAGAAATTTAATTTTCAAAAGTTTTTTATTTCATTTCTTAATTTCTTAACCGTAGATCTTACTATTTATTGCATTTGTATTTTAAAAAAATCCGCAGCAAGTTTTAAATTTTTACTACATCTTCTTCAAATGTCTCTTCTGAGTTATTCAATATTATCAGAAATATTAACATAAAAATGTTTTACTCAAGAGTAAATTTAAACTGAATTTATTTTGAGTTTTATACGAATACTGTATAATTTATAATTTATTCTGTCAGTAAACAGTGCTCAAAATATCAAATTCTTTAAATACAATATTATTGGATATGTTTTTTTATTAAAAATTAGAAGAAAATTGAATAGACGATTAATAAATAGTAATTTTAAATTTTATTAATACAATATTAAAAATTTTGAGTTTTCTGCAATAAATAATGTAATTTTATCTAAACTATTTAAAATATTAACCAAAATATAATAGCAATAAAATTAATTGCTGTGAAATTTAACAAACTTTAAAAATTTTCCTGCTAATATCAAATTCATAAAAACATGTATGCATTATACTCTATGAGCTTAGTTTTAAATTTATTTAATAAAAGTAATGTTATTAAAAGCTTGTTATTTACCATTTATTATATAAGATATAAATTTAAAAAATTCAGATAATTACCAGATAAACCTCTTTTATAGTGTTTTTTTTTTTTAGTGATGTTTTATTACTCCCTTTAATACTTGATTCGTATAATAATGAAAATAAAAATTTTTTTTTATGGCGATATTACAGTAAACATTTTTAATCTATAAATTGTCTTTGTCACATTATATTCAATTCATTTAATATAGAATATTTTGATGAATTATAATTTAAATATCTTTCCTTAAATTATTTTAAATTATTATTATTATAATATTAGTTATATAATGTGTAATTAGTTGTATAATGTATTATGAGTGTGTAAATACGTAAAAATATATGAAATATTAAACGAAATATAAATGGAAAATAAAATAAAATGGAATACGAATAATAATTGACTGATTAAAATAATTAAATTTTTATATTACATAATATTAGTTCTTAAAACTCAACGTATTTTCTGATCAGTACATTTATTTCCTTTTCACATAAAATAATAAAAATTCAATTAAAAAAATATCTCTAATTATGTTAAATTATTAAAAATGGTAAATTGACTGCAATACAGTAAATTATATATTAAATAACGAAATATTGCGATAAAATCTTTATAAATATATTATTATTTTTGCAATTCTTTTTTATGATTATAGTAAATTCATGATTATCTTAATTTATTATACACTCTTTTTTCACTTAATTGCGTTTTATATATTTATATATACTTATATATTTTTATCTTTATTTTACGCATTGATTTTTCTGTAACACTATTTTTATTCGCAATATTTTATTAGTATTTCTACTTTTCTTGCTTTTTATTTACTTTTTTTTCCTTCTTACCTTTCAATATTTCTATATATTTTTGAACTTCCATATTTTGCTTCTAGTAAATATATTTTATATACTTTTACAGTTTTTATCGTATTTTCTTTATATATATATATATATATATATAAATTTCAATAATTATCCATAATTCTATCATTTTCTTATTTTATACCATGTACAATGTACTTTGTATCTTGAATTTATCCATAAAACATGAATTTATAATTTACAATTAATTTTCTATCAGTACTTTTCATCTTTTTTAATTAATTATTCATTATTAATTGTTAATTATTAATTATTTGTTTAATTTCGTATTTTCTATATGTAGTATTGGATTGTATTCTGCTCATATTTTGTTTCAAATAAATTTTTTTTTTTTTTTTTTTTTTTTTTTTTGAACTTTTATATAAACTTTGATCAATATTTTGTTTCATTTTCTATCTTTCTTGTTTGCCTTTTTTTTAATCTTCTACTTTTATTTCATCTATTTTTCCTATTCTGTTACTCGATAGTTTTGGGAAGTTGTTATTTTTTACAGTATTACTAAATCCAGACTAAAAACCATTTTACAAATTAGAGATTACGACATATAAACTTTCTTTTTATTACACAACATACTTTCTAACTAAATGCATGTACATTTTCTATGAAAAATATTTGTTTTCGTTCAATTTATATAAACTTCTTCGCAATTCCTATTTGTATATTAAATATACTACTATTCATTAGAATATTTGATTTTTTTTTTTATAAATGCGTCTTCATTCCCCTACTCTATGTATCGGATAAGAATAATATATTTAATTTTTTCTTCTTCTCTTGATTTCCTTCCGTCGTTTTAATTTATCAATAATGAATTTAATATCTTCTTTGTTTATCATGAAAAAATCGTTTAATAATTATTACATATTTTTCCTGTTTCCTTCTTAATCTACCAATAACCATTATTTATCAGTAGAAACATATATATTTGTATATTTTTCATCTTCTATAATATTTTATTTATTCCAAATAAAAATCCATGGAATGAAATAAGTTTGTACAACTACTCTACATTATTGTTTTTTTTTTTAAAAATTTCTTTTAATTTTATATATTTTTTTGTAACGTTATATTAATTATTTTCATAACTTTTATTTTAATTTTTTATTCGCATAACTTGTATTAAATTTTATTTGTTCTATCAATTGCTTCTCCTAATATTAACTTTCATTGATCATTTTGATTTGGATAATTATTTGTTCATTTGTAATGTAGTTTAATTGATAATTTATTTTTGAAACGCGACTTCTTTATTAAAAATTATAATAATGGTTTTATTTTTAATGTTCCATCCATTTATTAAATTTTTCATTTGGTGATTTAATAAATATTTTATGCACTTTATCTAATATGACTAATTTATAATAACTTTAATGTTCAACTTTCACAACAAAGGCCTGAAATAATTTTTGCAAATGTTTTTTTTTATCAAACATTTTGACTACGTTTTAAATCTATTTTTCCCCAATGATTATACATTGACAGTAGAAGTATTTTCTGTCTTATCTATTATACTTTTGCTTTTATTTATATTATCTTCATTCTAGTCTATCGTTTCAAATATCTTAGAGTCTTAACTTTGATATTTGTATCTTTAACATTTTTTATAAAGAATTTTTGTTATTTAATTCAAATTCACTATAATTTCTTCACGCTTAAACTTTTGTAGCTCTTTATTGTCTTACGCAATTTTATTATTAATATTGCAACACGCTAATAATAATAATAATTAATAACAAATAATTAATTAAATAAATAAATAAAAAGTTTCTTTCATATTTGTTACACTCATAGAGTTTGATTTTTCCTTTGTAATTTTGTTTTTTAAGCACTTATATCGAAGTGTATGGAGGTATTTTTTAATTATAATATTCTATATAAAAATCTTCTAGGTATTTAATAAATTTTGTTTGTGTAATTTACTTCTTTCTTTCTATCTTCTCTGTTCTTCTGCATAACTTTCTCTATCAAGTTCTGATGCATCTCAACAATTACTTTCAATATTTTACTTTTAAATTAACAATCTTCATAATATTTTATTATACTTTATATAATATACTTAATTATTGAGATTTTTATTTCCTTATATATGTGTACTCGTTCGTATATTATTGTTCCTAATTTGTCTATATTTACCATTCACAATCCTTTATATCGCAGTCCCAAATACTTGAGTGTTAATACTATTATCCTTATTACTATTTTTTTTCTCTTTTCTTTTAAACAATATGTTTTTATTGCAATTCCCGCGATAGCAAACGATTTTTCTTCTTGTTTCATAATTTTCTATTTTAATTGTTAATATATTATCAATATTCTGACAATCTAATTATTATATTTTCACTGTATTTTTCAATGAACTCTCATTTCTTGCAAAATATCGAAAATGTACTTTGGCATTATTTATTATTTGGAATTATTAATTATTCTGATAATCCATTTTAGCTGTTAAAAAAGTTTTTATTAAATTAATTATAGTCAATGTTTTTTACTTCTCTTTAGCTTCTTCCATTAGCTGTTTAGTTATGATTAAATTCTTCTTTCTGTATGCATCTTTCTGAAATTATCATACTCACATTTTCGTGATTCCATTTCTGTTATTCTAAGATTGTTACTTAAAATTTCTTGCACTTCTCATAATTCGTGTTTTTAAATTCTCTTTAACCTAATGGTGTCACCATCACTTTATTTTGTCTCTCTATGAATTCTTCTCTTTTGCATTCGTTATTTTATTCTATTTTTTCTATTTTTCATCACACCCTTTTATTAATTCTTATTAATATTTCTATTAATTTTCCTTATACAAAGTGTTCATTTTTTTTTTGTTATTCACTATGTTTCGTTTGATTATTTATGTTTAATTTATATAAAGCTCGTCATTAATTTAATTTCCCCTTTAAAATATTTTTCGTCGAAAACTTTTTTTCTATTTCAATTATATTTTGCATTCTGAAACTTGATAAAAATTCTTTTTTTAGTTTATATTATTTTTTCTCTTGTATTTGATAACTAAATTACCAACATTTAACTATATTAAATGTTCGCTTTGCTTCCTTAACATTTACTTTTATTTTTCGTTAAACCTCTCTTACATATTTTATAATTTGTATTCAGATCAATTAATTAATATTTTATGATAAACATTAATTAAAATGTTAATTGCAACAGAATTTAAGATTATATAAATCCAATTTAAGTTATATATTTGAATAATTAATTTGTTTTTATAACATTATGAATTCGATTCATTGTATTATAAGTCGTTTATTGGTATTATTAAAAAAGATAAGCTTTGCATTCGTTAGAATTTCAGTTAATAAGAATTTTCATATTATAAATGAGCATAGTTGTATATATATATCAAGCTTTGGCAATAAAAGAAAATATATCTAATAAATTTGTAATATAATCTATATTTAAAAATCATTTGATACACTACCTTATACATTCCAAAAATTAATAAATTAATGAATTTTAAAAATAATATTGCATACGTTATCTTATATGTATATGCTTATGTGCATCATTTGTAAAAAAAAAAAAAAAAAAAAAAAAAAAAACTACAATTTACATATTATTTTATGAAAATAATGTTAAACTTGCAATTACAATCTGAAAAAGCAATTTCCATTTTTTTTTACTATTAGAATATTTTTTGAATATTAGAATAATGCCTTAATTAAATTGATTGTCCGATAATCACATTTACTGCTAAGTATGAAAATATAGATAAGGCACTTATAATAATTTTTACTTAATTCTAAATATCAAAAGATTAAAATTAACGGTTGTACATGTAATAACCTACATTTGACCTCTATTATTCCTCAGTTTTACATAAGTGATTCTAGAAAATTCGGAATACTCAATATCTAGGTTGGTTTTAGTTCAATATATGTATTAAATATGCTTTTTAATAATTTCCATTCCATTAATATATACTTTATTGTAAATTATTATTGGACATTTTTGTCATATTATTAGTCAAATTATTCTCACAAAAATCAAGATTTAATTTATTGAAATGTATGGAATTAAAATCATTTGTTTGAATTTTGTATTATGTGTATTACTAATATGAGCAAAAGAAAGTACAACGAAAGTGAATCGATAGTGCATAAAGAAACTATTTTAAATGGCTATTATATATTAATAAGATATATTTTAATTTTATATTTTTGCTTAATAATGTGTTTAATGATGAATTAAATGATTTAATTAAAAATCATCAATTTAAAAACATAATAACAAATTCATTTATAGGTAATATATTAGAATAATTCAAGTGACCTTATCTATAATTCCAACTATTTAAACTCTTTATGAAAAATGTGTATCCATAATTTAAACAATCTTTTATTTTTCATTAACCTAAGTTTAAGATAATCGTAACTTAATTTGTAGATAACATTTTTTTTTTTTTTTTTTTTGATTCTTGAATTAACAATGTTGAAGCTTTTATAGAAATACTGTGAAATCTGGTGGTGATTTTCTTTTATTATTAATAATACAGTTCGTCTAAAACATGGAAAAAAAGTATTAAAAAGTATTGGAATTGTAATTTCATAATTTGTCATAGTTTTTTTAAAATTCTCACTTACCCAGCAATTTTTTACTTCTAAATAAACTGAAAACATCGAAAGTTCATCATGGATGTATTCATGAATGTGCTTATAAATCAATATAATTGTATATATAGTTGCAATGTATTGGTTCATTTTTATTTATATTAAATGTAAAAAGTTTGTTTGTATTTTTAAAAATCAAATATGATTCGTAAAAAAAAAAAAAAAAAAAAAAAAAACGGTTTAATAGTCGAAAAATTAATAAAATAATCCGGATATATTTACTTAAAATACTTAAATATGTATTTCCAGAGTAAGGGAAAAATTTCATTATTAATATAAATTTACTTCTTTTGAAAATATTAATTTGATTAATTGCATGCATATTGACTATTCACTTATTCACATATAATTATTCGCTTTCAAATTTCTATCTCATATTTTTATTCACATTATGCCTAAGTATCGATAAAGTACGAATGTAATAGATGAACAAATAAGCGCATAAGTAAATCAAGTAATTACAATATATTCACAACTGTATCGAATAATTGCTTTTTGAAAGCGCCTGTATACATAGATACGGTGGATGTAACATGCAATGCATACATATTGGTGTATAAAAATAAAAGGATTTTTAACTGCTATATAATTATCTCAGTTTTCACGCGTTGAATGCTAAAGCCACGCATTATTACATTTAACTTTGCTTGCATCATATTTTTTTTATCCTCGCTTTTTTTTTTTTAGCGCCCTTGGATCGTTCTACATACCAACACTGATAATGTTGTTTTTCTATTGGCGAATTTACAATGCTGCTGTTTCGACTACGAGAGCGATAAATCGAGGCTTTCGCACAACTAAGAGCTCTAAGATGATGGGATCGAGGTGTGTATCCTCCTTATTCGTCCTACTCATCGCATAGAAGGAATTAATCTTTTTCTTTTCTTTTTTTTTTTTTTCATTAATTATAATATTAAGCAGGATAATGAAATCAATAAAAGGACAGTATCCAAATTATTACAAAATTACACTTTTAAATTATTATATTATAATATTAAGCGGGATAATGAAATCAATAAAAGGACAGTATCCAAATTATTACAAAATTACACTTTTAAATTATCGGTTAATCGTTGAAAAGAGCAATTTATTCATTCTTAAAATTCCTCATTTTGTCATTAATCGTGACATTTGCGTATCAGTGTAAATCATTATACATTATTATAATCGTATATAAACGAGAAATTCTTTGAAATTCGTTATAAAAATTAAAAAATTTTTTTTTATAACAAAAATCTTAATCTTCATTTGTTAAATTGCGTTATTCTACTCGAGATATATTTTCATGGAAATGTACATTATGAATAATAGTTAAATTGAAGTAATCAATAAATTTGTTATTCTTTAAACTAAATATAAAGTATGAATAAATAAAATGTTAAGATTTTTTAAAATTGATCTTAAATTTTCATGAAAAATTTTGCTCTTTGTACGGCGATAGTAAAGTTTATTTGAAAATATAATCGAAATTTATTTACACGTAGGAAAATAGAAAATATTGAAATAATTTTCATAGAGTTTAAGTGTAAAAACATAGTTTTAAAAGCCAAGAGTAAGGAATGAATTTTTAGAAATTGAGAAAACAATTGCCAATATCGTGGTGGTATATATGCATATGTATATATATATATATATATATATATATATATATATATATATATATGTATATTTATTAAATTAAAATAAATTGAAATCGTTAGCTTTGACTTGCGATATGTAAAAAAGTTTTCAATTATAGCAATATTATAAAAGCCGCACCGGGAAACGAAGGTCTGTGAAGTATTTCTATTTTTATTTCGAGTATATGGTACTTTTGACGAACTTTCGTCGCAAACGCGACTTCACCGCATACTCTCACCATCCACAATAGCTCTCCAAATAAGCAATTAAATAAAAAGTTAAAAACCTATCGAGAAACGAACTCTTCATTTCCCCCGGTAGATTCGACGAGCAGCGGTTAACTTTGAGAATACACAGAGGACGGGCAAGCGAGTATAACCGAAGCAATGGTAGTCCACGCAGCAGCGAGTGCACAAACTCGCGTAGTCCATCGAGGCGCGAGAGGATTAAGATTTCGGTATCCTACCCCAGTACCGAGACTCTCAATACTAAGTGTAACAGCGCACTGGAGAGGACACCTTCGAGGTGCTCACAGTCGTCTGTGCACTACAGCAACGGCCAGACTCAGAGCCAGCTGTTCCCGTCTTCCAGAGGAACTCACTTGAAGGTACATGTTAGCCTGTAAGATTAATAAATATTACATATCACCTGTCAACTATTATTTCGTCATTGTAATAATGATCTCTATCAAAACTATCATATACGTTCAAACTAATATTTCTAATTAACTCTTATTATATCTATCTTTTAAATAAGAATATATGGTTATTTAAGATCATACGAGCAAATAGTTATTACTAGATCATTATAGATTCTGTAATGATAAAAAATATTATTTTAAAAATTTTTCTTCTATAAATAATTTTTTTTTTTTTAATTATTTTATTCATACAACATATTTGTTATCTGAAACTTTAAGATAATCTAAATAACAAACTTAATTAATCAATGCTTTTAATGATACATTCAGCTTTAGACATATTTATCGTGAAAATTTGATAAAAATGTTGCTAATTTATCATCTTTCTAATGATTTGTCACAGTTTAGACATTATCTGTGATAATAAATATTTCTTCTATCTTCTATCACCAATGTCCAGAATTACTTACCATTATCAAATGTTTATATAATAGTTTATAGTATATTTATAGAAATGCTTTCTTATAGATAGATAGATTATTTGAATCATAAAAAACTAATTGTCATGAAAGCGATATGATTTTAATTCTTTTACATTATGAATACCGAAGTAAATCGTTTCGTAAATTTAATTCGTTCAAAACATTCAAATGCTTAATTTAAAGGAATAATTACGCTTTATATAATGACTGGCTATAGAAAGAAAGAAAAATTATTTTCTTAAGTCGATCGTTAAAATCCTTCAAAAAAAAAAAAAAAAAAAAAAAAAAAAAAAAAAAAAAAAAAAAAAAAAAAAAAAAAAAAAAAAAAAAAAAAAAAAGATTATTATTCAACTTTTGTATAAATTTTGTTAAAAATCTCCATTATATATTTTACATATTCATCTATCACTTGTAATCTATGAACATATATTTTCAATCATTATTATATATAAAGCAGATATATGCTTATTCTGCATTTATTTAAAATCTATTAAAAATCAAGCCTATAAAAATTTCAAAATTTCAAAATTTCAAAATTTTACAATTTCTTCTAACACAGATTATCTACCATTTAGCCGAGAAATACTTTAAAACCGTAGATTCACGGACAAAACAGTATTCCTTATTTATTAATTTTTTTATTTATATACAAGATATCACAATACTTACAAAAATTAATAACGATATTAAAAAAAAAAAGATTCAAGAAATATTACTGCGAATAATATATCTTATTGTCTACATGAATGAAGTTTAACAAATCTATAATTTGTATAAATATTAATTTACCCATTCTTCATAATGTGCATAGTTAAGTGTATTTACTATTTTTCTAAAATTTACCATATAAACAATTATGTACTTAACATTTTAATATACATTCACATTAAAATATGTTGGATATTCAATTGATCAAAATTTTTTAATGTGATGCATAAGGTTATTAAAGAACATTATAAAAGCTATTTATTTGAAACAAAAATTATGAAATTCCAGAATAATGATTATATTGATATATTTTATTTGTTTATTTTAATATATATATATATTATACTTTACTATTAAAAATTAAATTCTAGTTTAATAAATAATTTACCTTTAAAACTATTAAAGTATAAAAAGTAAACGAGCAATTAAAAAAATTTGTCATTTTCAAAATTTCAATATTCTTTGTTCGTTAATTATTGATTTAAAAAAAATTATGTTGTTTATATCTTACAATTATATAAAACTTTTAAAACATTAAAATATATTTATAAATATGAAAAACTTGAATTTTATCAATTAGCTCAGTTTAGTAATTAAAAATTAATGTAAATCATTTTTAGCAATATAAAACGCTAGAACTTGTAATTATTGAATTATAATTGTAATTATTAATAATGATTGGCCAACATGTAATAAAATTATTTCATTGCGGTTTATGATAAAAGTATGGTACAAATGTAAATATAAAATTCTTTGCCTTAAAAATGTCTGAAAAAATGAATTTCTAGATAAACTTAAAAATAATAAATTATTTATACTTTTTTATACGTATAGAAAAAATAAGTAGGAAATAGTAACAATTTCATGCAGTTATATAAATGGTGACTCGTTTATTATAAATATTATTCAGACTTTATCTAATTTAAATGATTAAAGACATTCATGTAGTATTTTAAAATTGAAGCTGTTAAGCATTATGTGAAATAAGTAACTTATTAACAAAAATATATTTAAAATAATGTAAATTATATAAATTCATATATATATATATATATATATATATATATATATATATATATATATATCTAATAGTACAATTCTATTATTCTGAAATATAAAGTACAATATTAAACTATAAATTAATGCTGTAATTAAAGAATAAAAGATTTGTAACACTGTTTTTCTTATTTATAATAATTAGAAAGCAAAAAAATTTAAACCTCTTGACATATTTATAATTTCTATATGAAATTTTTTGTTTACTGTTCTTCATTATCAATTTAATCATAGAATCAGTAAATACAACATAATATTAATGTATGTTATCAATAAATATATAAATTGGTTTATTTTTATATTATACTATTGTTTTGGTTTTGATTATGACGATAAGAAATTAGATTCATATCGTTGTGATTGAATTTTTTGATTTTCCAAAGAGAATGTTCACAATTTCCTATTTTCCTCAGGATTTTAACGGTATAAGGAAGCAATGATAGACCAGTGAAATTGGTGAAAATACTAAAGCATTTATAAAAGATGAATTGCTTAGTATATTTATATATGGATTTAAATGTATATCTTTTTTTTTTCTTTTTTTTTTTAACCACGAAATTAGAGAGCTTTAAATGAACGTAAATTGAATACTTATGTTATTTAGGTTGGAAGCATCAGTAGAATGGGAAGCACTAGAAGATCGAGTCGGCGCAGTAGTTGCGAAAGTCAAGTAACTGGAGATGTCGTATTGCTCCGGGAATTGACTCCAGGGACAAACGAGGACAAACCCCGTGTAATGAAAATGGGTAAACGAAATATAAAAGCTCAGGTGAATCTTCGATTAATTAATAACCTTCAATACGCGAATACTCTGTCTACGCAATATATATATATATATATATATATATATATATATATATATATAGGGAAATGTATTTTTTTATAGTTGTATCGATTTTTCAGTAGTCTTGTATAAGCAATTCCTAAGTAATAGTGCAAAGCAGAAAATGACATTGGATAGATGAAATAAATGTAATATAATTTTAATACATTATAAGGATATTATTTAACGCTTTAATTTTGTTGATTTCTTAATTCGTTTATCAACTAATCTATTAATGAATGGGTAATCATATTTATTGTATTTATCATAGCATTTACCATAGAGGCGTATTTATTCTTATTTGGTATCAAAACTTGTTTTTAGAAAGTGTCGAACTACTTTAGCATTCTATATTATGGACCAGAAGCAATAATATATAGTTGTTCTCTATATGCATAATTGATCTACTTTAGAATAGCGTAGCCATCTTTGAAGATAATATTGACCACAACTATAAATACATTTTAACAAAAACTTATATATTTATTATATTTGTATAAAAATCGTGACCAATGAATTTTTATTATAAATGTTAAAACAAATTTTTCGTACCTTCCAGCTCGACTATTTTCTATACAACTAGAGAATCTGTATAAGAAATTTCAAAGTAATTTTATTAACATTTAGTATTTAATCATTCGCATGTTACAATATTTGCACATATACGAGTATAATTTTCACGAAATTTCATCTTTTAACTAAAAATCTTATAAATACTCATAGTTTATAGTACTAATATAATATATATATATATACATAATTAATGAATTAAACAATTCATTCATTTATAAAAATGTATAACTGACTTTTTTTTAATGCTCAATATGCAAAATTATCATTAAAAAATAAAACGTAGTGGTATTAAAAAAACAACAACTTTATGATGAAAAGTTAAATAAATCATTGAAATTGAGAAAACTAAACTTCAGTATTTGATTAGCGAATTTTTTATTCATTTTTCTAGGTAATATTAAAAAATGAACTAAAATAATGTTATAATGAGTTGTTGATTAAACTACGAATAATATAAATAAATTATTGCTTTTAAAGATAAAAATTCTATTCCCTTGTGTAAAAAGTAGTTACATGTTACATGTTATATTAATACACGATGTATGTACGTATATGTGTAGGCGTGTAAATTCAATAAATATAAAACATATTGGAAAGACTGCTAGTCATCATCATCGCGATAAATGAAAAAAATTATTAGATTATTCTTTGATACTCGATTAGTGAAATAAAAAAGATTAATTAGAAGCAAGATAAATTGAAATTATATATGATAATTCGTTTATTTATAATGTTTAATCATCCGAATATAAATAATATATTCAAACATTAGAGTGATACATATTATTTATATTTCTACTTAGCGAGTATATTAATTTAAGCAATAAGCGAAGCGCACAGAATAGTAGATAATATTTGTTCGAATGATCTGGTAATCCATAAATTAAAAAACACATAGGTGAAACGCATCCGTATGGAGACGAAAGCTGCAAAAACACTGGGTATAATTGTCGGTGGATTCATCCTCTGTTGGCTTCCCTTTTTCACGATGTACCTAGTTCGAGCTTTTTGCCCAAACTGCATTCATCCAACGGTCTTCAGCATCCTGTTCTGGTTGGGATATTGCAATTCCGCGATAAATCCGTGTATTTACGCCCTTTTCAGCAAGGACTTTCGTTTCGCTTTCAAGAACATCATCTGCAATTGTTTTTGCAAACAACGCGCGAATACATTGCGCCGCGGTAGCGATGGCAGCCAATTAACAACAAGGTAAATCATTAAAAAAATACTAATTGCAATTTACATCGCTTTGTGCAAGCTTACATCCTATCCTAATAATAAAAGCAAATTTTTGTCTGAAAGATAATTAATTAACAGGGATTGATCTTCTTATAATGATTAGAAGTAGCTATTAAAATATAATTATTAAAAATTTTACGTCTTATCGTAACGGCAAATGTTATGATAAACTTGCTGTTTTTACTCGAGAAAAAAATTAAATAAAAAGATATTTTATCGCATTAAAATCAGATACTCAGAAATATAAAGTTTATTTTACAAAATGTAATATACTTTAATGAACAAACTAATTTGTAAAATAATTTTTTCTCTGGTTTAATTATTAAAGTTTTCGAATTAACTTGAAAAAACTGTCACATTTAGACAGGTCTTATAAGTATTTTTGTAGGACGAGAAAGATAGAGAGAGAGAGAGAGAGAGAGAGAGAGAGAGAGAGAGAGAGAGAGACAAATTATAAATGATGTAATTAGTAAAGAAACAAAATAAATAATACTTATTATAACAATTATAATTAGTCATCAATTTTCCAATAAAATTGTTGTTACTTTATAAACATGTTAAAAAAAAAAATATATATATATATATATATATACATTTGTATATATATTTTAAAATAATGATAAAAAATTTATATAAATGTTGCATTTTAAGAAAATAATGTCTTGTAATATTTCGTTATTCCGTAGCAATTTCCTTCGTTTATTAGTATTCATGTCATTGTTCCTTAGAAATTTCCTTATTAATCGTTGATCAAATTTTTAAATAAATTTGTTATAAAATTTTTACATAATATTTATTTTTTGAAAAAAAAAAAAAAAAAAAATGTTATTATTCCAATTACAATTGATGCTTTATTTGATAAATAATTAACCATTTCCTCTAATAATTATGAAAATGGAAATTATTATTATTGAGTCTTTATAAATAAATATTAGAGATACCTGTATCCATAGCTCAATGTTTGTAATCGTATAAAAAGCAATTTGTTATATTGTTTAAAGTGTTCTTGTGTATAAATTAAGTTGCAAATTATTTATCATAATATTAATATTTAAGTATGTTAATCCGATGTCTTTAATAATATGTCAATGTCAATGTACATTTTTCATTCATTTTAATCATATTTGCCAATACGTATTTCATTTATTTTTGATAAATAATTGAATTAATTAAAATATTGAATCCTAAACGTACATTATAGTAAAATGAAAAATGATATATATTATATCATTTGCAGCATCTTGGAAAGTACAACGCATGTAAAGAACTATCTGTTTCATTGTTTTATTTCATTACCAACATCATCGAATTTCAAGCAAATCAATATGAAATATCATTGTACATGTTAGTATTACCTGTAGGCAACCGAATACATCACTGCGTCCAATATTCCACATTTGGTGATTTAATTCATTATTATAAATAATAGAACGCCGATGTATGACTATAAATTGAACTATGGGACTTTGTAGATTTCATTTTTCAGAAACGAGCGGAGTCCCGGGCGCACGCGATGCGGTACGTCGCAAGGCTTTTCGATCGAGGACTCAGATCCCGGATCTGACGCCAACATCCACTCACAAAGTGACTCCAGATGACTATAGCACCTCGGGTTCGGCACACAGTGCTTCACCTTAAATGCTCTAGCGACCCTCGAAGATTCTCATCGCGAAAGTGAAGCGAGACGAAGGGTCTCTTTTGGCGGCGTTGAGACGAGGCGAGCCGACGACCTGGAGACGATTGATGTCGACCGGATATCTTTTACGGGCGCGAACGACCATAACGACGACAACGAGATGGAAACCAAACAGACAGGAGCTAAGCCGCATTCGAATTGAATGATTGCAAAGATAAATTCTATTGGAAAGGGTGAGCTTTCTCTGATCACTATTCTCAATCAAATGTCATTTCATCCAACTTATCGCACAAACAAAAAAACGACGAGCATTTTTTTTTATTAATTTTAATAAATCGATATATATCAAGATTATAAAATACTTTATTCTAAATAATTATAATAGCATTGATTTTTTTTTTTTTTTTTTTTTTTTTTTTTTTTTTTTTTTTTTTTTAAATAAAGAATTCGATAAATCGCTAATGAACTGCAATTTACGTAAAAACATTGGTCTTTATTAATGAAATTCTAGAAATTCGAGAATCAGATAAAAATTGAATAATTCAATGTGAATGCGTATAAATGATAGGGAAATTTTGTATCGCATTTAAAGGAAATTGAAATTTTTGATTTACGATGTGTATTTAAATCACTTTCTATAAATATACAATTTTCGTACTTTTATTAGAATAATATAAAATTTCACTATTTAAAATTTACTGTTTAAATAACTTTAGATATTTATAAATATATACGATTCTTTTTTTTTTAAACATTATTATATTAATTTATCGTATTCTACACGTACGCTACTACTGCAATAATGAAATTTTTTATTTTATGTATATATATAAATATATATATATATATATATATATATATTTATAGATTATAAATTAGAACATTATATTCTCACTTATTTGAAAATTTTATTGTAAATTTTCCATTATTAAATTTGTTTCAATTTAATTTAATTTATAAAAAAATAGTTATTAACAATAAATTAATAACTTTGGAACATAATTTAAACTATTATTCATAATTAGAAATATTCATGTAGGAATGCATATACACTAAAAAAAAGTAAATCGTTAAAATTATGATTTTTCTGTGGCTTAACATTACGATAAGTAATTACGATACCCTATATGGACATGGTAATGATAACGAGAGTGACATCGATCTGTCAAAATGACAATACCTGCGTACATCTATTAATTATAAAATTTATCCACAACACACAATTGAATTCAATAAATCAAACTACGTCAATTCTTTTCAATATCCATTAATTACGAAAATATACTTTTTAAATTCGTTACATATTCATGTAAATATTTATATAATTAGTCATATGCGTATAACTAAGTATTGTTTGTGTACGTATAAAATTTATCATACATTTATATACATTAGAATAAATGTGATCAAAACTTAATCTTGGATGAATAAAATTTTTAATTTAAAGCAAATAATTATATATCGTTATGAAAATAATAAATCAAATTTTTTTCAATATTTTGATATATTTAAATTTAAAAGAAAAAAATAATAATAATAGAATAACGTACTAAATTGATAAATTTATTTTATACACTAAATTTACATACAGAATATCCTACTTAATAGCCGTTATATGTTTTTAAAAAGTTGAAAAAATAATATTTTCTTTTCATATTTTAGCTTTTATATATTTAAACAAATATATATATATATATATATATATATATTTTTTTTTTTTTCAAATGATTTATTAAAATGGAATACAGAAAGGATTTTTTGTCAATGTGTTCTAAGGAAGAAAATTAGAAGTTTGTAAAATGCATGTGTGCGTGCGTGTATTTATGTTTGAAAGTTTTTATAATAATTTATCATCACGCTCAATGCAACTGGTAATTCTGCAATATAATTATTAAAAATTATTCAATGCGGTTTTAAATTGTTACAGATGCGGATTATCATCCATATTTTCCAATCCAAATGACGATGAATCACCGGTAGTCGCGTAAAAAAAGTGAAAAATTTGTTACCTAAAGTGAAAATTGTATAAATAGTTAAATGAAAATATTTGCAAAGTTGCATTATAACGGACAGAAAGAAGGTGTTGTTTTAACGTGTAGGAATACATATAACCAAAGCACAAACGTATAAATATGTCGGAAAAGAATAGAAAAACATACGTAAATATTATGAATATTGTTATATCGATGAGATTCCGATTTTTCACAAACATGTAACTTTTTTGGTGAACTCGGAAACTGAATAAATAATGTATTGCTGCTATGCGGTTAATCAATGTTATACGTTCCGATATATTCTATACATAAAGTTTTGCGTTTATAACGCCTTTTTGCTAACATTTTCGCTTACTAAGCGCAACCTGCCCTTTTTTAAAAAGCGATCAAAGAACGCAATTCTGTATAAACTAAACAATTCAACAAAGTGTTACCAAACTTTAAAAAAAAGTGTAATTTTAATCGTATAAATACAGAGAAAGTTGTGATTCATATCACATGTATTATTTATTGAACCTTCGTATCCGTAAATATTATCATTTCTTAATTCATTAAAAGTTATTCATTTTAATTAAAATTTATTACTTTTTAAGATTTATAGATAATTCGCATAATAAAAGAATCATTATTCGCAGGATTCGTTATCCAGCTCGAGAAATTTTATCTTATTTTATTCTCATTTAATTATCAAAATCATAATTATAATCATCATAAAATGTATTAAATATTAGAGAATATTTGTTTTAATATAGTTCCTTAAATGTTTATCGAAAACAATTTTTCTTATGAAAGTTAATTATTATTATATAGTGATAACTTATAATATTTTATATTTTATATTTGTATTTTTGTCTTAAGCGTAATTGTAATATATATTATAGCGTATACATAGTCGCTTAGTTTTGTATTTAATTGTAAAATAATAATACAAGATTTAGATAGTTTTAGTTGAAAATATTGCTTCGTTACCTTAAAAGAAACTATTATTATAAATTTTATCATTAATAATTATCATGTGACAATTTTTATTTAATTGGAAATAAAATCAAAGCAATTTTTTATTGTATATTAATAAAAGTTCTATTGATTATTCTAAATGCCTTGTGTTGTATTTTTTTTTTTTTTTTATAACTATTACCCATTCAATGATTTAATTGAAATACTCAATTTTCTAATATTATCTTATATTATTTCATTTGATTTTCTTTTCCCACAAATAATTCTAATTTTACTGTATTATAAATTTACTTCAATAGTCGTATTTGTAAATATACTACTTTATATTCCGTCAGCTTTGGCTATTCGCAATTAGTTCTAATAATATCATTAACCTTTGTATTATCAATTTGGTCTAATAATATCGAAACTGAAGCTAATTTTTCTGAAAAATTCTGATATATTTAGTGTGGGGAAACATAATTAATGACGATTGTTTAGATTATTATGCAAAATCAATTGATACAAATTTTGGTTGCAAATTTCAATATTAAATATAAAATTTAACGATATATTCAAGTTGTGCCAGTATCGATTCATTATGGTATAAGCATAAAACTTATTATAATTTTGTTATCATTCACAAAGTTATTCAGTATTTATTTTTATTTACGAAATCCTTTTATACTTCAATTATTTTAAACAGCCTTCTTCTAAAATAGGAAAAAGTTTTACTTCTTTAATATCCATCTGAAGAACACAAAAGACGTTCTTATATAATCCTAATTAAATTCATATGATGTATTAAAGAACAAAACGTTGCATAAACAAATTTATTTTCATATTTTCTTACCACTTTTTTTTTATTTATTTATATTTTCTATTATATAATACAAAATAACAAGTTAGGGAATTATAATTGAAGATTAATTATATTATTTTCAGATTTAAAAAACTAATTGAATTATTTGCTTGGCGATATTGTTGGTTCAAATTACTCTTGATTACTTTAAGTGTATAATAGTATCACTGTTTTATTATTTTTAAATATTTTAAAATCTTTTAAAATTGTTAAAAAGAACGAAATGGAAGTTGAAAATAAGTCAAAATGAGGATAATGAATGACGCCTTAATAAAACTTTCATAACTTGAGTGAAACTCCTTAAAAGCTTGATAAGCTTTTACTTAAACATGTATTTTTACATTCTAAGTCGATAACTTTTATCTATCTAATAAAAATGGTGTTATGATGCTAAGGTAAGATGGATCATTGATTGAAAAAGAGGCAATTTTATTTTTTATTTTTTTTTTTCAGATTATCTCAAAAGTTTCTTAACGAAATCTTCAAATTTTAAAAATTATGTATTTTAAAAGCATGCATTAATACAAATATTATATTTTATAGATTGTTAATAAATAAAATTAAGACAATTTTAAATATATATTAAGAACTTTATTTTGACAATATAAAAATTAATTTCATCTAATTTGAAATTTAAATTAGATTTTAATAAAGATGAAAAACAATTTTTTTATTGAAATTAGAAATTTTAAAACATTTTTCATTTTCTAGATAATAAGTAATCAATTTGCAAAATATATTGTACTCTTTCTTACGATACACTTTCTATAAATATGAATTTATTTAAATTGTGCATAAGTAAATTATTATTCAGCTCAATGATTTATTATGTATTATTAAAATTAAAATTCATGTTTTGACTATGTTTTAATTATCTAATATTATTTATTGTTTAGAAAACGATAGAGATATCATATGTGCATATTCATTAAATGTACATTAAAAATATATATGCATTTAATAAATATTCAATAATACAATATATATGTATATATTTATTTAATATTGAATTCTAAATTTTTATATAATACTTTGATTACACCAGTAAATTCCCTATAAAAAGATAATGTTTATATAATCCTGTCATTTTGTATAATACTGTAGAAAATATTTTTAAAATGACAGGATTATATAAACATTATCTTTTTATAGGGAATTTACTGGTGTAATCAAAGTATTATATAAAAATTTAGAATTTCATATTTAATTTTAATATTTCTACGTTATTACGCTGTACATGTTCAGCAGCTATTATAATATATTCAGCATCACTCATGCACCAATTCTCTGTAAATAAATGATTGTTTAAAATTTTCTCGTCTCTTTTATATTTATTAAATAAATTGTCAAATTTTATTATATTTAAATGTACAAAATTATTAAAATTTTATAATGCAGTTTTAAAGTGGAATTTTAATATAGTTTCATGGGCTTGTAAATATCAAGCTCTAACATTTCTACTCTAATATGGCTTCTATTATTTATTTTTTAAAAAGACTCACACACATATATATATATATATATATATATTGAACGAAAGGCATTCATATTTTAAATTTTAATAAAGATAAAATTACTTGATAATGAATTTTATACAATAATTTTTAACGAATCTCTTACTTAAGCTTTAATGTATGATGCGTTAACGAATCAAAAAGATTGAAAATTGAAGTAAATTTAAAAATAATATAATAATTTTGGTAAAATATTCTATAAATTAATGATTTATAATATGAGTAATTTGCGAATTAACTCTAATGCATCAATCTTAGCAACCTACTAGATGCTTATTTGGATTTACATTTAAGTTCGATAGTGGGGAGGATGTTAGTGCTTGTCCGACAAAGCTCAGGCTTCTGGTATATTTGTAGCTAATACACGAAATCCATCTCTGTCAGCAATGTAGTGGACTTGCTGCAATAATCCATTAGCATCAATGTAGCTGTAAGCTCCTCTGGTTGTCCCATCAAGTGAGCGCGACTCGGTCTTGGCACTAGTATCACCGGTATAACTGTATTGGTATTGTCCGAGCGAGTCTTGACTGTGACTTGCTGATGTGTGTAACAGTGATAGAGGCACAGCTGTATAAACACCGGGCATAACGTAATTGTGATGTTGATGACTCGCGTATCCAGGTAATAAAATCGCCCCGCTGCCTGGAGATTGCAGAACAAAGGTGCCAGTGGATCGAATCATGGGGACACCACGAGTTTCCTCATTGCTTAACAAATGGGACTTTCCCGTTTTTGTATTGGAACTTAAATCACCCCCTAATTGTTGCTGATCTTCACTTTGATATTGATAATGCTGCTGACCGCGGTACTGGGGTTGCTCGAGCTGAGACGAGTCCGAAGTTTGTCGATCGTCAGATTGTCTCTGGAACATCGCCAAATGACGATTTTTGGCAAGGGCGACCTCTGGCGTATCCTGTGCCGGTATTAATGTCCTAGATCTGGGCAAATTGCTGGCTTGAACGCGAAAGCCATTTTCTGCGTCTGCCGTGTAGGAGACTGATTGCATCAAACCGTTCGCATCGATGTAAGAGTAGCCTAAGTCGAGAAAACATAGAAAATATAAACATTAACGTAGAGTCAGTCGTAGTTTAATATTTGCGTGATTCTGCAATTATGTTATAATAATTATAATGCCGAAGCTTAAAGTCCTACGTAATTTATTATAAATATTTTTGCAAATTTTTCATCCTCGGCATAACCTAAGAAATTATGTAAAATTTGAGTTTACATGTTGGAATAATATAAGTCAAATAAGTCAAATCGTATGCAAAAGGTATTCGAGTCTTACCTCCTCGTGTAATACCGTCAACGTTCGACTCGGACTTGGCATGATGAGGTCCGGTATATCCATATTGATAAGAACCACTCATGGAATCTTGCGAATGATACTGAACTGACTTGCCCATTTGTCCATTCCAGGCATTGGATCGGCTTGCGCTCACATTACCATTGTTCGTTACTAGTAATACTATTAGCGAGATTTTACAGCTTAATCCTAGAAATTGTATGGCCTAGGGAGTTAAATAAGATATTCATTAAAATTATGTTATACACATATTTATTAATTTACACGATATAATAACAACAAAAGATTTTGAGGATGCAAATCCTAATGATTATTTCAATTATTTTCAATTACAGCATCCTTAAAACATGCAGTTACAATTTCATTAATTTACAATTTTTCTGATTTGAAATCAAATTTATTTTGCTTTGTTAATGCAATTTATTAATTAATGAAATAAGGACTTGGACGCGAAAGTTGACATTTTTTACCTCCTCTAAGATAAATGTTTATCTTAAGCAATTTATTTAACATCAATTTATAATTAAAATAACTATTTGTATTTAATAAAGCTGAATATCCACAATATAGATAAATAAAATTTAAAATACACAAATATTTTATTTTTGATAATTATTTTAATTATAAATTGAAACAAGAATAAAAAATTCTAACAAACAAATTTTTAGAAAAATACTTTTTCAAAAATTATTTTTCATTACACAGACTCTTTGATGCTACTATTATCATTATAGTACTAAAGAAATGAATATTTTACAATTTACTTATATACAACTATGTAACTATATATATATATATATATATATATATATATATATATATATATATATATATATATATATACATATATATGTATATAATACCTGAAATCAATAGTTTAGTATAAAATAAAACAATATGATGTAACGTTGTTTACTTTTATTTTTTGTATTCCGAGCATTATATAGACTTTGGTTTATTCTATATATTTGATTATCAATGATAACATCCCCTAATTTTTACCCAATTCATTGCCCATTCAATTATTTATGTATATATATATATATATATTAGTGCAAGGACTGCAAGATTTAGACCAGTACTATGTAAACGGAAAATAAACTAAAAGTAAAAAATTAATTGATTTCAGAATAGCAGCGCAGTAAATTAAAAGATAAGGAACTCACATTAATCATTTTTCTGCTGTTGAATTACACAAACACAATATAAATGTTTTCTGCACTACCTTCTTTCTGTTATTCCCTTCCTCTGTCCCTCTATCTCGTCCTCTCTCTCTCTCTCTCTCTCTCTCTCTCTCTCTCTCTCTCACCGTTCACGCAAAATTGCTTATTTACCTATTTTCTCGCCCTCCTCAAAGAAATTCAAAGAAATTAATAGTACATGTTCATTAAAAAATGGTATGAAACCCTTGAGAACTTCGAAACCGCCTTTTCGACTTCTTGTTTGTGCGCGCGCTTGCAGCAATGCAGAACGTAAAGTTGGCGCTGACCACGCTTATATAGCGAGATGTGCTGCTGATACTGACGGTTTGCCCCCTCCACTTTAATTCCTTTGGATTGCACACAATTTCGCACACTACACTCACCAACTCTCAGAATGGATATGCATATCCATTAAAAGAGAAGTACCTTAGCAAACCACATCAACCATAAATCATCCATCGCTCAATTTCAACAGCGATAAATCATGCTTTTCTAGTTCAGAAAATATATTTTATACTTTTCTTAATTTAATATCTTCTTCCAGCTGCTTCTCTGTCTCTCTCTCTCTCTCTCTCTCTCTCTCTCTCTCTCTCTCTCTCTCTCTCTCTGTCTCTATCTGTCTATCTCCGATAAAGAGATACTTTTTCTATATTCTACGTCTAATATATTAACCACCGCTTATTATCTATTCGTTTCTCATATATTGCATCATTATCTAGATTTTAATTAATTTAATTACTGATATTAAAACCAATGCTTGCACTTTTAATTGTTCACATAATTAAATAGTAAAAAATCTTAATATTATTAATCAAAATAATGATATAAATATAAATATAAACTAATTATAGAATTAAATATATAATTATATAAATATATATCAAATTAATTGTATATATTTTATATTAAGAGAGCAATAGACGTATAGCTATATGTAATTACAGGACGATTACAGTCGAATTAAATGGCGAAAATGTTTAATTTAGTAAAATTATATTATTAAACAAGTTAGAAAATTTGCGTTTGAAAATAAAAAATTTAATACTCTAACTTTTAAAAATTTTAGATGTCGTATTCATGCTTATGAAATATATTATAATTTAATACTGAATTATGATATTTATTTATTATAATTGCTAAATAAATGAGTATATCAATAGCTGACGAATACATTAATATTATTCGACGACTACACATTACAATATAATCAATACATATATCCATACTGTCAATTTCTCTCATTAGAGCAGATAATAGTATTACATAATCATTCCCTTCATTTATTAAAATATATTTGTTTAAATTAATAATGTGTTGAAAAGATTGATAAATAATTTTCGTATGTACAATTAATTTGAATAATTGGATAAAATATTATTAGATTATATATTACGTCAAAAAACACAGAATACACAAGTATACAAATTGTAATTATTTCATCTTATTATTCATTTGTAGGATTAATTTTTCATAAATTTGGACTATAATGTTTGTGTTTAACTAGTAACATATCTTAATCATCGATATAACTTCACCAATACTTCGTAGTGTAAAGTTTGACAACAATAAATGATGAAGAAAAAAATTATTTTATTTCTTAATGGCTATTGACTATACTTATTCACAATTATTGTCTTTTATTCGATCATTGTGTAATATATATGAGACTTTTCTAAAGATTCATTAAAGAAAAACATATGTCCAAATAAATTAAATCATTGCTATTTATATTTTCATTGTAAAAACTTTTCAATTTCCTTTCTTCAATATTCATACGAAATCAATGTATTATACTACAATATTCTCATAAGCTCTTTATGGCAAGGATAAACTGTTTAAATTCTACGCATTAACGGTATTACATATATTGTATAGAAAAATGATAGACAATATAAAAATATAATAGCATGAAAATAATAGATGTGTGAATAAATGTGTAATAGTGCATTAAAGGAATTATCACCAAAGCTAAAATATTTATGTATTATCTAGAATTGTTATGCCATTTTTGTTATTATCTTTATACAAAGAATAAATTACATGTAATATTCATAAACTATAAATTAATAACATGTAATTCATTGAATAATTCAATTAATAATTCAACATATTATGATTATATATGAAGCTTAAACACATTTCTACTATTCTCTTACAAGCAGTAAAAACTTGGGGTATATATATATATATATTTTTTATTAATTTAATTATAATAAATCGGAAATTATAATTATACGACTTAAAAAATATCAAGTTTAATTTTTAACAATAGAAAAGATTAAAAACTTTATTAATTTACCTAAAATATATGTAAATACATTTTATTCACTAATTATCAAACAATTATTATCAATGTAACTAACCATATCATTATACGTCATTCAATCATTCTGTTGTTGGAGATATTGTTCGCAAATATCAAGTATGAGGTTTTTATCACTTCATAATCTGATATAAATATATATATATATATATATATATATATATATATTATGAATAATGAATGAATTATTAATTTAAATAAAATACATTGAATAAATAATAAGAAATTTTGTATAGACAAATTTAAAAAATTGTGTTGTCCATCCACATAGCTTGTATACACATATATTTATTTAACTTGTGTTATTCAAGTATTTTTAATGAAAAATTACGGTAATTAAATACATCAATTTCATATTTAAATATATAAAAAAAATTTTTATTAAACTTTAAGTATAAGTAGATTTCACTGGTAGTGTACAAAAATAATAATAATCATATGTAGAAGAAGAAGAAGCAGAAAAAGAAGAAAAAGAATTTTATATTTCATTAATTTTTCTAATTTAAACAATGAAAGTCTTATTTAATCATACATAAGCTTGAATACAATTAGAATGACAATATTTAGAGAAAAATCGAATTAGGAAAAAATATGTAAGATATAAAAGAGAAAATAATAAATCTTATAACTTAAAGCAACGTAAACAACAACAACCTGGATAATTTTATTTAAATTAGTTACATTTCCGTAATTTTTCCTTAATTTTCCTTAATGATAGCTGTATGGGTAACAATTAGATATAGTTTTAGTACAAAAAATCTTTTGACACATGTAAAGGTAGCTTAAAGAAAAGAAAATATAACCAATTATACCTATAAGGCAATGTATTTTAACGATTTATCTCTAATAATTTATTGTAATTCATTGTTTTTCGAACTTTTACTATTACCTCATTTAAAAGCTAATTGCACGTTATAACAATAATCTTAGTCTCTGTCTCTCTGTCTCTCTGTCTGTCTCTCTCTCTCTCTCTCTCTCTCTCTCTCTCTCCCTCTCACCCTCTCACCCTCTCTCCCTCTATTTCCCTGTTTCGCTCTTTATCGATATGTAAACATAAATATATACATATATAATTATTGATTATAATAATTCTATGATAAAAAACTTTAGTATTTTACTGCTTCATTATTTTATCTCTTTAATATATATATATATATATATATATATATGCAGTTATTATAACTTTCCATCTCATTAGAGCTTGAAAGTTATAAAAATTTTATTTGTGTTGAATATGTGTTGAAGGAAAATGGCTATTAATAAATTTGAATTTTAATTATACTTCTATAATGATTATGCACATTTTTATTTTATCGATTTTATTATCTTTATTATTGGCTGCATTGATTTGACTTTAGAAGAAGCTCCTTAATTTAATTTTTACACAGTTATTCTTCCATCCTATAACTTTAGCAGAATTTAATTCAATTTTTTAAAAATTTACATTTATATCCTAGTTTACCAAACATTGTTATAAAATAGTATATTACTATATTATTTCAAAATTTCCTTTTGGACAACACATTCATCAATTGCCTGAATGAACTACATGTCACATCTGTTATCAAATTCAAATTAATAAATTCAAGTTAAAAACAATAAGGTTAACATTGCTATAATAAATTTTGTAAATTAAATCATTTTTTCCAGATTTTAAATGTAAGAAATTGATTTTA